AGCCTCTCTGCCTCTAGCTCTGAGGAAGACCAGTAAAGGACAGCCCATTGCTAGAGAACAGAAGATGGTAGAGGTGCAGAAGCAAATGCCTTTGTAAAACATCTTTATTATAGTTTCTTTCTTTAAATCTTATCTGTGCAGAAATAAATAAAAACATGCCGACAAACTGGTTTAGCAGATGGTGTGGTTAACAGAAAAAGATCAATGCACTGCCTTCCTATAGCCACTTCTTTCAGTCTCAGACAATTTATACTAAATTAGCCCAAGGCAGAACTTTACCAATGCAGAACTTATAAACAGCAAAGTAGTTGCTAAATGCTCCAAGACAAGAGGTTTGGTAGGGGGGAGACACATCAACTGTTTGGTGGGCACTGAATTCACCGGAGTCTTCTGCAGCTATGGGAGAGTATAACTCATTCACCAGTTTGGACACTCAAGACTGAAAGAACAGTGAAAAAAAAATAAGAAATGTTGATGTAGGGGAAGAAATAGACACAAGAGGAATGCTGAACTCTACAGTCATGAGCAAAGGTAGGACCAAATGCAACTCTGCTGTCATAGCAGTTACAAATGAGACAGCAGTGACCATCAGAAAGCTAAGCTCTAGCCATCTGGAATATATCTTGATATGAAATACAATTAAAGTCCAATAATCTTCCCAGTGCTAAGAAGTGGACAGTATAAAGGGAAGGGACAACACAAAATGTTTAAGTTTTAGAAGGAATAAGCAGCATGAGAAAGAATGGAGTTGTCTGTACTGACTTTCTGTACAACCATTTTCTTCCTTCTTTTGCTACTTCCAATTAAGATTAATAATTGTTTCCAGGGGAAAAAAATATTTAAAAGAAGAGAACTCATAAGAAACAGCTTAAAAAGGAATGAGCACTTTCAGTTCCCAAACAGCCAACTTCTATGCCTCTTGGGGGAGAAATACACGGGTTTTGCCCTCTCATGCAAATACAATACTTTGCTTTGAGTCACTGTTTTAAAGGGAAAACCAAAGACCACCACTTCCCAAAACAAGTTATTTTCCAACTCTCACTGTACTACTTGTGGGATTTTTTTCCCCTCAAAACCCAAGAAAAATGGATACAAAAATCTTTCCCTCACATTTTATTGATAAATCAGTTTAAATTAAACAAACAAATCATACTGAAATTAGTAAAAAATTCTTGAAAAAGCAAGAGTAGGATTATCTTGCAACAGTATTCCCAGACAAGAACTGCTTCAGCAGCCTCACAGAATTAGCAAGGAGTATAGATATCCATCTGGCTTAATTATAACTCCCAAACAGACCTCAGACCTACTACCACCTCATGCAATGACTCATCTTCAAGATGTCAAGAACTATGCAATACCTCACAAAACTCTCTAAATACAACTTGGACCACCATCTGCTTATTTAGATGCCTTAGGCCTCAATTTCGTAGCATCTGAACTTTTCAAGTCCTTCCTCCTCTAAGACCTACAGCCCCATAAATCCAGCAGCTTCTGTCCCCAGAGCAGTTGTGCCTGTTTTCCTGCAGCCTGGTGAGAACAGACAGGACTCAAGATAATTAAATAAAAACACAGGAACTTCGTTATTTATTTTAAAGGAAAATGTGTTTTCTAGGAAAAAAGTCCTTTAGTTGGGCAAATCTGTAAGCTGTTTATCAGCTTAAACTCATTATCTGTCCATATGGTCTTAGCACTGTGGTTTAAAAAAAAAAATGGGCATGCACTAGCTGATGAAATGTCATCTGCCCTTATGCCAGAAACTAGTATTTTTCATTGACGTCAAATTAGGATCCTTGCCACAAGTGAAGGGCTACCATAAGGATAGTCATAATATTTTAATTATGAAGAGATCTTTCAGAAGGCAGCAAGGAAGGCAGGGGCAAAGCAAGAAAACCCATTCACAAAAATACAATCACTTAATTCACATTTTGTCTCTGCTCTGATTCTGATTTTTGGGGAAGATGGGATGGGAAGAGAGCAACCCAACTTAAAAAGAAAAAAAAAAAGGCTAGGCAATGAGATGCTAAAGCCAATAAACACACATCAAAGTATGAGATGGCTCTGCTTCAACTGCCTACAGTATTCAACCTGGGATAGATTAAGGCAAGACAAAAGGCGCTAGGAGGGAAAATACTACCCCTACAGCAGTGCAGATCCTCTCCCTCACTTGCTCAGCACTGATAACTGAGATCCCAGCCAGTTCTGCCACACTGAAAGTGGGAAGGGCAAATGACAGACCCAGTTTTGCAGAAACCCAAATTTGTCTCCCATGGTCTGCTGTTGGGGATTAGCTCCATGCAGCAAGCTGGTTTGAGGGCCTTCCCGCTCCCCCACTGAGTCACTGCAGTGAAGCAGTAGCTGAGTTTATTGATTCTGTGAGTCATGATTAGCCATGGGACATGCGAGCAAAGGTTTAGCACAGGACATTAAACCTGACTGAGCTGTCAACTTGGTTATTCCAAGGAGAGAGAAACAAATTGAAGTCACAGTAACAGATGTTTCTCATGTTTTATGAACTGCAATATTATTACTGGTTGCAGATACAGTTTCTGCCTTTTAAAACAGACCTGCAATGGTGCATGTGTGAAATTATTCGAACTAAACAACACATAGACAATTTGGCAAAGAGCTTAAGGATAGCTCAGCATTTTCATACTCACACAATGATTCCTGTTTCCCTTTTGCCCAGCCCCACCCTGAGAAGTATAATACATGTTAAAGGAGCCAAAAGTGAGATCACGCCAGGATAGAGTCGTTCGTTGCCATCATCTGAGTCGAGGATGCAAACACTCTGATCCCCCCACTCCCCTTTCGTGAAAAATACACACAGCCTCTTCTCGGTTTCCACTGTGGGGAAATTAAGTTGTTGGGATCCGTTCTAAGTTTTAAGGGAGCCTGGAAACAGAAGACTGGTGTTCTTCCCAGGATGTCTTATCCTTACGCCTCAGGGGTAATAAAGGGATTTCCCCGTAATTTACAAAGGAAATCTGAAATACCCTGTGAGCGCAAGCCACCCCCAAGCTCATTCTGCTCCTCCGTTCCGAGGAGCGAGCGGAGGCGCGGTCGGCGCTCTGAGGGCTCTACCGAAGGGTCGCGCTGGCACCGCACAGCGAGAAAGCCCTCTCGTGGAAACTGCCAGCATCACCCACCCGAGCGAGCCCCTTGGAGCCGGCACCATAACTGGCCCTGGCCCCGGCCCGGGAAGCTGCGGCTGCCCAGGGTGCCGCGGGTCTCCCCGGCTTCCCACGGCGCCCCCATTACCCTCTGGGCAGCGGACTGACGGTCCGCCTCCATCTGTCCCTTTCCCAAGGAGTAAACTACCCGTTCACCTGCATATCTCATGGCCTTAAACGCACAACGCGGGTAGCTGAGCAATTTGTAGCACAGGTCTGCCTTGCAGGAAGGGTAGAAATTTTATCTGGATTTTGACGGTAGTTTGCAACATCTCAGAGAAGTTAAAGCTCTTCCTTTCTCCTTCTCACCCCGCTACGCTTAAATTCGTGGCAACTGTATCACATGGTATTTTAGCTTATGCCAACAAAAACTGTACCGCGGCCACAACAAATACAGAAATATTAACTGCCTTCCAGGGAGGGTCAAACATTCGAATCATTTTAACATACTATACAAATACTTCAGTGAAAGCAGATGATAAAGAAGCGCATCTGTACATTATGCTAAAGATTCCTCCCAAATTATGAAAAAGATAAAGAAGGTACCTATTTCTCCAAATGACATGCCTATCCTTTGCTCTCAGTTTGTATACTTTTGTGACAGAACAACCACTGCTCCTTACAAAAGCACTAAGTACCAAAATAAGCCTTTTACTGGCAGAATCCATCGAACACTTGGGTACATCTTGTTGAACTAATACAACTCTTTAACAACTCCACACACTTTTTACCCACTATCAAAAATCCAGGGTGAACCCGTGTTCACAACTTGCATATACCCAGCCAGGCACACAACCGTCTCCAGCACACTTCTGCCTAAGCAGCTTTGGTAGCCATTGGCTATTTGGTGAATTATGTGCCTAGAGTCTATTATTTGTGTTCGAATTTTCTCTTATTGTAGAAATACAAGCAGTAGTCAGGCCAAGCTTACTAACTGCTGAGAGAAGTACTAGAGAAAAAAAAACCCCAAACCCAGAAATTATGATTATCAAACAGACTTCTCAGGAAAACAAACACTCAAGCCCAACGCATCTGAAAATGCTGTTTACTCACTCACTCTAACATTTAAATACAAAAGTTATGATAAAACTTTAAATGCCCAGTTGTTTAGCTTACAAAACCCCCATGTAGTACCTCACTAATATATTGCTGCAACTATAAATTTCTATTAGACAGCAGGCACTGGCCCAGGCTGGTGGGATTGCAGATCAGCGAAGTGTGAAAGAGAAAATTCCTAGCGGGCCAGGCTGAAGTCAGAAAGATAGTTAATTCTCCCACCTTCCTCATCCGAACTTCCATGGTGGCAGCATAAGCCAACATGCGACAGAAGCAGGGCAGGACGCTCCGGGCACAACCTCCGGGCGCCAGCGGCTCCTCCGCTTGCCTTTATGGGAAGAGGGATCCCGGAGGGATGGGTGTTGGGGGTGGGGGGGCAACAGAATACAGAAATATCGAGGGCAGGCTCTGAGGCTCTCGGAGACGCTCCCGGAGCCCGACCCCACAGAGTTGTTACCAGCGGGGCGAGTTCAACTGGCTCGGGCAGCCGGGGCACCCACTCCGACCTCCCGTACTGTCGGCCTGGCTGGCATCTCAGACCCGGAAACTTGCACGCCCAGCATCCCGGGGAATCACGGCGCTCCAGCACATCCCCCCCTCTCCCGGGAAAACAACTCGGCGGCGGAAGAGTGGCGAGAGCCGCCCCTCGTGGATGCCCCCCGCCGGGCGTCCCGGGGCAGCGGGAGGGCGATGGGTGCCAAGCCGGAGCCGGCACCGCTGCCCGCGGAAAGGCTGCGCGCCCTGCGGGCACCAGAGGCGAAACCCCCCTGTTACCTGCCAACGCCCGCAGCAGCTCCCGCGGCTGCGGCTCCGGGAGACGGACCGAGCGGGCAGACGGACGGATGGACCGAGCGGCAGGCGGCTCCCGGCGGCGCTGGGCTCCCACTACCGTGCGCGCCCCGTGCCCGGCAGCCGCGGAGCGCCGGAGCCGCCAGCGCAGCCGGCTCCACCTCCCGGCCGTGCCCCCTCCTCCGCCCCCGCCCGGCCCGGCTCGGCCCTGCCCCGGCCCCCCGGCCCCGCCGCCTGGGCGCGCCTCTGCCCGCTCCGCCGCGCCCGCCCCGCCGCCGGCCCCTCTCGCCTGCCTCCTCCTTCGCCAGAAAACTTTCCGAGTGCCCTCGGCCGGAGCCGCCAAGGACAGCCTGGAGTAACTCGTCCCTCCCGTAGCCGTGCCTCGCCGGTGTCTCCGCCGTTCGGGGCTGCGGGAGCGGCAGCCCGGGAAGGGCGGCCCAGAGGTAGTTTGCCTGGGATCTTCTGGCGGACATGAGCCCTGAGCCCGCCGAGCTCTCAGGAGGCACCGAAGGCGAGCTGGCTAATCCCCGTCTGCAGGGTGACCCTGGTAACACCCAGTGGTCTTCTGATGCACCGGGAGGATCCCTGGGACTCAAAAGAATGAGACCAGGGAGGTGCGAGGGAGGTCACTCGTTGACTGGTACCTCAGTGAGACCTTCTGAAATGCCTTCGAAGATCTGCCAGAGAAACTACAAAGGATGACACTGCGAGACTGGAAGGACTTTCAAAAATGCATACCGAACTGAACGAAGAGCCCATGCTTGCGACATGGGAAAAGCCAACACTCCTAAGCCTGGTTTCCTAAGTAAATATGGCTTGTGCAGTTGAGTTCTCTTTGTGTGCCGATAACTTCTGAGCCCGTTAAACAATTTTGATACTGCTTGACAGCTATGAATTTCAGAAAAACAGGTAACTGTGTAGAAGAGGTCGTCTCTTTTACTGTTTTTGCACATAGGGCAACTGTATCTCAAGTCCAACAGCATCCAATCAAGAAATCTACAGTGAGGTTCAATTCAACTATCCCTAGGGAAACTACACTGGTCCTGATACTCAAAAAAGTCCTTGCTGGGCTGGAGGGAAAGAAATTGAGAGGTGTGCAGAAGTAGCATGTTACTCTCAGTAACAAGGAGCAAGGGCATTAGTAAATTGGATGTTGCACTCTCATATAACAAAAGAGAGAACAGTCCTGTAAGGGCCAGATCCTGCAAGTATGTAGACGTGTCCTTGTACTGATAAGAGGTCCCGTTTATTTCATGATGCTTTGCAAGATGTGGGATGCAGGTCTGGACTCTTAAAGCTTAGTAGAAGAACAAGAGACTACAGAAATGTCTAACAGTGCAGTGTAAAGGAAAAATAGATGTGCCAGCATCTCATTATAAATATCTCTGCTAATGTCTCATATATTTGGTAATGAACAGTTACAGGGCTCCCCAGGTGTAGATGTTTGTTGGCGTTGGCTTTCTTTTTTTTCCTAATGCAATATAAAAATTGAGTGATAGACATAGAATTTAACAGTTATGGTCCCAAATCTATTTCTGCAAAATAGCAAAACTACGTTACAAAACCAGACCATATTTGTAACGTGTGTTTTGTTATAGTCTATTGTTTAAGACAGACAATCATTTCAGGGTCTGATATTTTCTTGTAATATTTGGGCCCATGTTTTTCCATTTCTGTTTCGCTATTCATTTATTTGTGTCACACAGCATGATCCTAGCTCTCCTTGGTCTTTGTGGCAGAGTAGGGGATTTCCATTTCTTTATTAGACACAGTGTGACACGAGGTAATAGCCTTGTTCCTCATTTGATTCCTTTGCAAAGGACTCAGAGTGCTGTTTTCCAGGAGGCTGGTTTGTCATACCCCTTAAGCAGCAGATCATGGCTCTTTCAGGCAGAGATTACATTTGTGCTTTACAGAACTGTCCAACCAGGCTCCATTGGTCCTCCCCCTGCACCTTCCATAAAAATCTCACACGTGCACCCCTGCACTGTCAAGGACTGTTGCAGGACCCCACATGCCAGGGAATTTTGCTGTGTATCAGTGAATAAACCATGAAAATGTGTATGTATCTGTCTAGCTGCCCAACTCCCACCCTTGTTTTTGGGCCTTATGCACAGATCTCATGCAGAGGTTTTCTTGTAAACTGACTGGGCTTAGTCCTGCCCAAAACACCACAGTTTTAAACAGCTCCAGATTCTATAGAAAATATCCCTTCCTCATCAGGGACAGTCTTGGCATTTTTTCAACAACTACCCCCCGCCCCCTCCAGTGACATCATTATTCTGATATTTTGGAAAGAATACTACAGGGTGATGTATCCAAAGACTTGTGTGTGTTTTCTGTTTTCCGTCCTGATTCTATGAAACTGTTTTGTAAATGAACAAAAGTCAACTATATGTGACCCCAGCTTTCAAATCTTCCACATCCTCGCATGGACACAATAGTGCTCTTACATGCTCAACTGTGCAATTTAAGGGGCCACTATTGCAAATTAGCTTCCCGAGTTTATAGTGCTTTCACCATCATGAAGGAATTGCTTTGTGAATCCCCGCCAGCACTGAATCGAGTTTTACATTTAAAGCTGGGGTTTACATTCTTTGTTATGTGTAAAGGATATAGTGTATTCCCTGTGAACTTAAAGCATAACAACAATCTCGAATAAAGCCAATTTTATGATAGATAAATATTCAAGAAGGCTGGTTTACTTGTTTTCTGATAAATACATTACTGAATTGAAATCAGAACATGGAAGAAGTTCCATGGTTTAGCCCAAAACACTAAAGCCGCTTTCTGCTGTTTCAGAAGTGCCTAGAGCTGCAGCATCCCACTGTCTGGAGGGTCTGTCTCTTGAATATTACATCATATGTCACATCACGGCTAGGCTTTGCGAACGAAGATTTGGGAAGGGCTCTACCCATGTTTGTTGCAGGCGTGTTGGTGGCTAAAAAGGCCAATACGAGATAGGCATGTCCGGTTGCAACATCATATGTATGACAATACAAAAAGCCTTTCCGTCACACTTCTGATAGGCTTGAGTTTTCAGAATCAGAAACTGCAATGTTGAGAAGCCATGAACAATTCAGGGCAGGTTCCTCACAGGTATAACTGTATGGAGTTTGAGAGAATTGAATTTCACTCCATAGAGCTAACCCATTACTTATGAACCCATTCTTGTCTGTGCTTCACATATTAATTCTCAGCTTCACAGTTTCCCTGTTGCTTCCTTCCCTGGACTCCCCACCTTTCCTCCTACTTCCTTTGCCTTCAGACTGCTCCCTTTCTTTTCCTGTTATTTTCTCTCAGTATTTCTACTAACACCTTTTCCAATTTGCTGTGAAGGCAGATAAAGCAGGAATCCACCCCCGATACAGCTTGGCTGTGATTCCTAGAGCTGGACTGACATGCAGACCAGCTCATTGCCTAGGCAGATGGGCAGAGGAAACTCTCTGGCATCTGCATGCTGGAACCCGAGTACCAGTCTATTTCCAGATAACCATAGCACATTCCAGGAGCAATCTGTGCTCAGTGTTATTAACTCTGCCATGAGACTGAATGGCACTTCTGAGAGTGCAAAACAAACAAGGTCTCAGCCACAAAGAGCTTAAGATGACAAACTGACTGTCTGAACCTGATCACCTGCTCCCAGATAAAGATAATGAAGTAAAAGATCTTGTTTTTCTGAAATGTCAAGTACTTACAGTGCTGACTGAAGTTACACTGACCATTATGCTCTCTCACCTGCTATCAAACTGCTTTCCCAGGGCCCCTCCATCAGACCTGGGAAAACAGCATGAGGGGGCATTTGATGTACTGGTAGCGAGAGGTTTGTTCAAGCTTTGTTATTAAAATCATAATTAAAACCTTGCCAGTGTATTTTTCAACCTAGTTTTGCTTTCCCAGGCTCAGCTGGGAAAACTGAAGCTAAATTGTTTGTGAGTTGGTTTCTTTGTCAATATTAGCATTTCCCAATCATTTCCATCCAAGCAACAGCTAACATTTTGGAGAAAAAAAATAACATAGCCCTCCTTCATGCAGCTTTGCCATGTTTTTTGTTTTTTATTTTTGTTTTCTAAATCAAGAACTAAGCAGCATTTTGAATATTCATTCACAGATTTATTTTTCCCAGCTTTGTTTTCATATTCACTAGATTACATGATACCATACATGTATATTCTTCTGAAGTGAAAAAGCATGTTTTGTCATCATTTCATATATTACCTTCTCATGTCTTTCAGACCCACAGACCGCAAGATGGGAAGCAGGCACCTCTTTCAGGGCAAGAGACATGCTTTTCTTAAGATTATCCAACCCATGAACAACAGCTTATGCTCACTGAGATACTCAAAGAGCTAGACACAATTTTCCTAAATGCTTTCCTGCCCACCTCCCTCTTTCCTTGTCTTTGAAGTTGCAAGATTACACAAAGGAACTGGCAGCAGTGCCTAAACCCAAATTGCAACAGCAATGATTGAACGAACGCTTGGACTCTGACCAGAAAAATCTCAATTAAGAGAATTCTTTGTAATAATTTTAATATTCAGCATTGAAGAGATATTTTTAAAGCAATATGAACATATTTAAGATGACAGCCCTTTCCACAGCTAACAGTAGGTAAAGCTGTATATTACTGAACTAAAAAAAAAAAAGAACCAGAAAATATCCTGTCCACTGTTTGCTTCCCCTTCCCGAAGTTTCCTAAAATGCAGATTAAGCCAAAAAGCACATCTTTTGAGAAAATTCTCAATGTTCATATTTCCTCTGAAATTTGCAGCTGAGATTTTTCTGTACTTCTTGATGCCTGTCTGGAAAGTAACTTTGTTTCCTATGGTCATTTTAGAAATTTTCACTAAGGAGGGACAAGCAAAATGGAGGCCACCACTGTGCCAGGAACCCCACAGTCCCTTTCCCCTACATGTTTAAATATGACGAGAGACAAATACAGAGGAACAGTTATTCTCATTTACAAACAGGAAATTGAGGCATGAAGAACGAATGCTGAAGAAGTACTAGAGGTCTGTGGCAGCTCCAGGACATGAGCTAGGAGATGCTGGATCACAGACAAGTGCCTTACTCATCAAAACATCTATCCTCAAATGCTT